GCAGCGTCACTATTAATGGAAACATCTCTCCCTACTACATTGTTGCTTTCAGTGCCTGACCCTGATGAAGGACCTAAAATTGTCCGAAACGCGTTGGTTCCAATGGCACTTGATAAATAAATAAAGATAAACAAACAAACAAATGAAGAGAACAAAGAAGTTCAGAAAGAAAAACAGAGCAACAAAGAAAGAAATAAGAGAACAAAAAAGTCCAGATAGGAAGAAATGAAAACAAAAGCAACAGAGATATTAAGAGAACAAAAAAGTTCAGTACGAAATAAATGAAAACGAAAGCAACAAAGCTGATTAAGAGAACAAAAAAGTTTTGAAAGAAGTAAATGCAAACAGATGCAGATGCAGAGATGAAACGATGACGGCAGAAATGAGACGAAATAAACAAAAAACAAACAAAGAGACAACAATAATAAAACAATTTTTTGAACCCTGGTGACAATACAGCCCCAGACCACTTGATGACGACAGAGCCTTACAGCAGCAGGGCTGGAGTGGATCGGGATTGGCTGGGACACACATCCCCCCTCCCCCCTCCCCCTCCCTGTCTATATATATACACACACAGTGTCCAATTTTCATTTCTGCAGCGACGCAATGAAGTGAAACATCTCTCCCAATTCAATTTTTGATTTCAGTGCCTCGACCCTGATGAAGGACCTAAAATTGTCCGAAACGCGTTGGTTCTGATGGCACTTGCTAAATAAAGAAAGAAAGATTCTTATAAACAAAGAAACAAGTGAAAGAGAGTGATGATAAAAGCAACAAAGAAATGAAAACAAAAGCAACAAAGATGACTAAGACAACAAAAAAGTTCTGAAAGAAATAAATGAAAACAAAAGCAACAAAGATGATTAAGAGAACAAAAACGTTTTGAAAGAAGTAAATGAAAACAAATGCAAGATGTAGAGATGAAACGATGACTGCAGAAATGAGACGAAACAAACAAAAAACAACACAAATAAACACAAATAATGAGAACAACAAACATAAACGAGAACAGAAACAAACATAAATAACAATGGTAACAGAACCAAAAAGAATAGAAAAACTAACAGAGAACTATTTACCCGCCTGTGCCCCCTCGTGATGATTTTTATTATTATTATTATATTATTATTATTATTTTGGCACAAATTTGGCAATCTTGTGCCGAATTGTCATTTTGTTTACACAAAGGCTCACAGCAGCAAAACCCTTTGTCCTAGAGATCTGAAATTCTACACAGTTGTTGCCAACAACTTGAACAGTGAGTGTAGTGAGTCACAAATGTCTAGTATGAAGTATGACCAAGCTAAGGCCTTTATACTTTTCATATTTTTTTCTGAAGCAAAAAAAGAAATTTTTCATTGACTGTAGTGTAGGTTAGGCAGCACTCACAGTCTTCATGTACATATCTACAGAAACTAGGAGGCCTAAGCTTTAAAATGGTGCCTCACACAAGCATGTGGGTTCTAAGTTTGTTTTTTTTAATAAGCTATGGCATTTGGGTATGTAGTGCTATTGTGCACACGCCAAAATTAGGTGGATGGGAACAGGTTAACAAAGTTTGAAACACATAAGATTTTAATAGAAACATAATTAATGTCAACAACATCACAGGTGACACAGATGAAGCCAAACTTATTTTACTGCAATAGTACCACAATTAACATACATTTCTGTCCAGTCAGAGCCAGTGGACCCTGCTTGATTGTCCAATCAGGGCTGAGGCAGCTTCGTCACCTGCGGAGTCATGTGACCCAGGCGCTGCTGGAGCCAGGTCATGTGACGTGACAGTTTGGTGAGGACCAGGATGTGACTGCTGCCCCCTTCAGTAGAGGATCTCCCAGGTGCAGTGGAGGTCAGCAGCCCCACTAGGTATGCTGTCCCCCGGTCCACACTGACCACTGGGGTCCCCTGGAGCAGCCCTTGGACTCTGGACTGGTCCTGGTTCAGACCTGTGGAGTTCAGGCGACCCTGGTCTGGTTTATTTAGATTCTCTTGGGAATGGTCTTTCTGTTTGTTAGAGTTTAGTTTGGTTTGAGTTGGTTTTGGAAGGTTATGAGTGTCCTGGTTTAGTCCATGGAGGGTTTGGTTTAGTCCTGGCAGATCTTGATGTGGATGGACTTTCAGTTTGTCATTATCCGGTCTGGTTTTGGTCTGGTTTCTCATTTCCCTGTTCAGTGTTGTGTCAGTTTGGCCCTGATGATGGCCATTTTGTGTCTCTCCTCTGATGACTAATCCTTTGTTTTCTCTCTGTGGATCTGGACCCTGGTCCTGGCCTCTGGTCTTGGTTTGACCCAGGTCTGGATCAGTTTGGTGCTGTTCATTTAGAATGCTCAGGCGGATGTTTTGTTCCTCACCTGTTCCTGCATTTTGTTTTCCATCAGTTTCCCTTTTTGCCCTTTCCTTCTTGACTCCTCTGCTCTGCTCTGGTCTTCTCTGACCCTGATCTGAGGCACGATCCTGGTCTCTGGCCCGGTCTCTGTTCTGATCCCTAGTCTGGTCCTTGATCTGCTCCCTATTCTCGTCCTTAGTCTGGTCCCTGGTCCGGTCCCTGGTCCAGGCTTGTTCCAGTTCTGTGTTAGTCCTAGTTTCCAGACAGAACATCTTGTTGGTGAGGCTGTGGCTGATATTTTTGCCTCTACACTCCTCCAGTGACACAGATCTGGCACCGGATCCGTACCCACCCACAAGCAGCGCTTTCCCATCATGCATCAGGACGTTCTCGGCATGGTCGCGGTGGGCAGGGACACACAGATGAAAATGGGCGGAGCTCATGCGCGGGGGGCGGGACACCTGCAGCAGGGCGAGGTCATAGTCGTGAGCCGATGAGAATCGTTCATGCACTTCCACAGAGCGCACCTGGAACACCCTCGGCTGCCCACCTGTGGAAGTACAGGGAAACCAGGTCTGAACCAGAACTAACCAAGGGATAAACCAGTTCTGAACAAGGACTCATTGATTATTATGTCCTTACTGACTAAATCAGGTCTTAACCAGGACTGAACAAGGACAGGGTGTCCCAGAGTCTATATCAGTACTAAATCCAATAATAACTTTGACTATATTAACTCTCCCAGAGGTTTATATCAGATACTGTACAAAAACAATGTCTAACTCAAGTCTTTCTCTGGTCTAACCCAGGACTCTCTCAGAACTCACTGAAGCGGATGAAGATCTGGTTTGGGTCCAGCTCTGGTCCTATGTGAGACTGCAGACAGTTAGCAGAGGTCAAGATGGTCCTGAGTCCAAGCAGGGCACCTTTACAGAGCTCCACCCCCCTCCTGTTTAACAAGGACACCTGCAGAGACAAGAACAAGAAGAAATAAGACCAGGACAGAGCTACAGCTGAACCAGGACTAGGAGGGCAGGACATACCTGCCAGGGACAGTGCTTATTGGTGCAGAGAGAGTCCGAGGAATTGGACTGAAGCTGGTCTGGGACCTGCCCACACGGGAACTCCACTGAGGTACACACAAGCACAAGGTTAGTAGGTTAGGAGTCTCACAGTAGTAGTTATGCTACTCACAGAACTAGTAGTAGTAATATTAGTAGTATTATAGCAACTGTAGTAGTAGTAGTAGTTGTAGTAGTCATTGTGGTTGTGGTACCCTCTGGCTCACAGGTGCGCCCATCACTCTGCAGTCTGAATCCCGGTAAACAGGAGCAGATGAATCTGAACTCTGAGGCCGTGCACAGCTGCTCACATGAAGACGGGCCATGGGTCGGACACTCTGCGAAGTCTGGATCAGAACCAAGATTAAACCAGGATTCAACCAGGATTCAACCAGGACTAAACAATGACTCAAGCCTCTCTCTTTTGTTCCATTTATTTCTTATTTTATAGTATTTAGTTCCAGATTGATCTCCTGCATAAGTTTAGATCTTTTCATAGTAATTGACCCTGGTTTAGACCTGATTTAGCAGAACAAAACCAGGACCAAACAAGTTCAAACTCTCTCTGATGAGAACCCCCCACTTGACCTACCTTTAAACTTTGGTTCTAAGTCCTGGTTCAGCTCTAGGTCCAGTCCAGCCTTGGGTTTGGATGCTGGTGCCAGTTCACAGGTTTCTCCATAGAAGGGGGCGGGGCATGCACAGTAGAACCCACCACTCATGTCAGTGCAGTTCCCTCCATTGGTACAGGGGGCAGACTTACACTGGTTCCCGTCATTGTACTTGGCCCAGAATACAGCCTGGATCAGGTTTGGTTCAGGTTTGGTTCAGTTAGACCAGGTTGTTTGGGACAGGGTTAGAGTTATGGTTAAATTTGTTTTTACCGTTTGGTGGTGGTCCTCAAACACTTCCCTGGCCTCCTCATAGTTGCACGCCTCCTCCAGACACTCCCTCTCAAGGTTTCCCTGAAGAAGCTCCTCCAAGAGGAAAGAGTTGGCCCTTTTGGACCTCAAGAACAGACCAGAACCTGACCACAAACATAGAAGTCCTTTAATGACCCTAAGCCTGTGTTAAACATGTCAGCGGCATGTGTCAGTCTGTGACTCTACTAACCCAGGGCATTTCTGCTGAGAGATGAGTGTTAACCACTCTGCCACTCATGATACTACTGAAGGCTGTGCTAAGACTGAACCCTGGGCCACGTTGGACATGTGTAATATGATGGCTGACAGTTCAAAACAACCAGTCGCTCTGATGTTGACATAGTCATAGTTACATAGTCCAGTACAGCGCTTTCCCTCTTCTGTCTGTGTACTTTCCACAAAGCTGATTATAAATGAATAATATAGTAATAATTATACTATAATAATATATTGTCTAACGTATCTCCTAAAGTGACTCTTACCTTGGTGCAGTCCAAAAACATGAACAAAATTCAATATGAGCAGAACACAGGACAAAATCCGAATGGACCTGCTCCTCTGCGCCATGATGCCTCAGCTGTCAATCACACAAAACTCGCCCACAAGACCCGCCTCCTCTCAGTCAAACAAGACCCATCCACAACTGTCAATCACACAAGACCCGCCTCTGCTCAGTCATGCATGAGCCGCCTTTTTATTGATTTCTTTGCTTTTGATCATGAGTTAGTTAGAGATCAGGGGTTAGGGGCTTTCTCCTTCTGTTGACCATGTTTCACACACTCCGTAGTTAAATTTGACCATCTGCATGTCCACGTTTAACAGTGTGTCATAATAGCATCTTTACTCTTTGTGAAGGTTTAAGATATTTTATTTGTACATTATCATAAATGTAAATGTCTGTGTTTGTCTATGGAGCAGAGATCAACAGAGTCTGATTCAAGTGGACTTTGAACTGGACAAAAACAAACTGGGACATCGATATTTAGTGTTTGTTGAATTCAGTAAACAGTAGATTTGTGGTTAACGGTAAAAACACATTACTCCATCAGGACATTTAGAAGAGCTTGCCTCAATAAATAATAAGTACAATAATAAATACAATTTAAGTCTTGGTCTACAAAGACTTCTACAGGAAACATTAAAAATGGCAGCCAGATGAGAGAGACAAAATGGAAGAGTCAAGATTTCAAAAGAACTTTATTTCAAACAAAAAACAGTGATTCAAAAAAGTGCTTTAGAGGTCCTAATTGATTGTGTGTGATTGTGGTGTCAGTTTAGTTTTGGTCTAGTTCAGGTCTAGTCCTGGTCTAGTCCTGGTTTTAGTCCTGGACTAGTGCTCAGTGTTACAGATATAGGACCTGAAAGCTTCTTTGTCTCTCTTGGTTCTGCTGATGTTCTGGTCCAGTCCATTTGGTCCTCTGTGGATCTTCATCTCCTACAAAACCCTGTTCAAATTAAAATTAGAAACTCAGTAATTACATCCCTTTGTATCAGATGCCCTCCCTTCCTGTCTCTGACCTGTTTGGGTGCTGGTCCGCTCCTCCTCCTCCTTTTCTGGTTCTGACTCTGGTCCAGTTTCTGTGGGACTAAGATCTGGATGCCGTCCCGTATCCAGCCAATGTATTTGGAGACCTGTGTGTAGACTCCAAACTTGCCGCGGCGAGCGCAGCCCTCGCCCCACGATACGATGCCTGTGATAAAGTAGGTCCCTCCGAAGCGGGTGACGTGAGGCCCGCCGGAGTCGCCCTGGCATGCGTCCTTCCCGCCTGTCTCGTATCCAGCACAGAACATCCGCCCTGAGATCCGGAACTGTGTCGACTCCATGCAGCGCGCCCGATCCACGTACGGCATCGCCAACCTTTGCAAGATGGACGACGGCCGTGATAATTCACCCAGGCGCCCAAAACCTGAGACCAGACCATCAGGCTCACGCATCAGCACCTGCACAGGATTAGACCATAGACTGTATAAAGAAGTGGACAAAGCAAGCGTGATGTCACCCATGGCGTTTGGAAATCAAACAAATGAAGCTTGTGGTGCTCACTGTTACAGGGGCAAATTTGGTGCCAGGCTCTATATTATAAACAGGACTTTTTTAAAGGACAAAAGAGTAAAATAAAAACACCAGAGTCATGTAGTGTGGGTTAATACAAATATTTTAAGACCAACATGGTCACTGCCGCAGTTACAGAGGCAGGGGCCACAGTATTGCTATGTGTCAGTAGGAGCCAGAAGCACCCGCATATGAACTTTCCATTTGGAACGCAGCAGCTAGCACATTAGTTAACCATTTGTCTATGAGTTAAACTTGGATTAGACCAGGTCTAGACCCTGGATTAGACCAATCCTGGTTCAGTCCTGGTCCAGTCCTTGTCCAGTCCTTTTTACCTTCTCGGCGAAGTCCCTGGTGGGCAGACAGGCTGGGAGAATGTATTTGGTGAAGGTCACTGGAGTCTTGAGTTTCATTAGGGCGATGTCGTTGTGATATGTGTCTGATTTGTACTTATGATGGATCAGAACCTTGTCCACCTGATGCACTGCTTCATTCCCATGTTTCACCTGTGTATCGAATTCACCTGAGGACAACACCAGTGAATAATACAATAACTGAGGACACAATGTACTTAAGATACCTAACTCTAACTTTGGACCTCTGAACTCCACAGAGTAATACAGGAACTAAACCTGAGAACTCCCACTAAAGAGTTACACGTCATGTTCAAGAGACCTGTCTGGAACAGAAGACCACATCTGAGTCCTGATCAGGAGGCCATGACTGCACCCTTCTCTGGACATGGGAATCGAACCTGAGAACCCTTGTCTGTGGGGCGGGGCTTACCCAGTACCACGTGGATGTGCCGTGATTGGTTTATGCAGTGGGCGGCCGTCAGAACAATTAAGTTATTCAAAATGGTTCCTCCACAAAAGCCTATGCTTGCCTCGTTCACCAGCAAGGCCTGGAAAACACAAGAATCAAAACCAGACTGAGCTGGGCCAAGTCTAGAGCTGGTGCTGTACAATTTAAACAGAAATGATCCTGGTTTACATTAGCCTCTGATTTATACAGTTTTTTTGTCCTGGTTGTCTTGGTTTAGTCCTAAGGTAGTCCTGGGTTGTGGTTTAGACCCCTGTGTAGATTGGGTTTAGTCCTAGTTTAATCCTGGTATAATCCCGGTTTAGTTCTGGTTCAGTCCTGGTTCAGTCCTGGTTTAGTCCTGCGTGTGGTCCTGGTTTAATCCTGGTTTAGTCCTGGTTTGGTTCTGGTTCAGTACCTGCCAGGGACACTCTCCTGGGGGACAGTCCTCTCCGTTGACGATCCGAGTCCACGAGGCCATCTGTGACGTAAACAGCTCCTCGTGGACCAGGTCTTTATTCAGGTCTGGATTCTCTGCATCCAAGTCTTGACCCAGGCCCAGGTCTACAACAGAGTCCAACTGGGTCTGCTCCTGGTGGAACTGGGTGGGGATCACAAAGGAGTTCTCGGTTGAATCCAGGGTGTGGACTGTGTCAGATCTGTTGGATCCAGAAGAGTCCAGGTCGGTCCCGTTGAACCAGGTCTCTGCCCAGTCTTTGATCTGATCTTGGGTCTGGTTTAAGTTCAGGCTCTGGTTCCGATCGTACCTGAAGACAGTCCTGGTGTGGTCTGTGATGATGACTCCACATTTAAAAGGCTCTGGACCCAAAGAAAACACAGCTTCGTCACACCCACTACTGTATATATAATTACTACTACTACTATATATATATATATATATATATATATATATATATATATATATATATATATATATATATATATATATATATATATATATATATATATATATATATATATATATATATATATATATATATATATATATATATATATATATATATATATATATATATATATATAAGCCAGCTCAATGGCAAGAACAAGGTGCAGGCAATCAACAGCTACGTCCTGCCAGTGATCAGATCCCTGCAGGGATTGTAAGCTGGCCAAAGGAGGAGATACAGACCACAGATGTTAAGACACGAAAGCTCCTGACCTGCATGGAGGGTTCCATCCCAAATCCAGCACCCTGAGACTGTACGCAGGCCGGAAGGAAGGGGGCCGAGGACTAGTGAGTGTGGGAACCACTGTCCAGGATGAAACATCCAAGCTCCTTGAGTACATCAAGGACAAGGCCCTGGCAGATGAGGTGCTCAGAGAATGTCTCAGACAGTGGGGTCCAGAGGAAGAGGAGCTGGAGGGACCATCATGGCAGGACAAACCCCTACATGGGGCGAACCACCGGAACAGAACTGAAGTGGCTGATATCAAGAAATCCTACCAATGGCTTGAGAGGGTCTGAAGGACACACAGAGGCTCATCCTGGAGCTCAGGAGCAGGACCTGGGCACTCGAGCAATAGAGGCCCAGATCTACCACACCAGACAAGACCCACGGTGTCGACTGTGCAAAGAAGCTCCTGAGACAGTCCAGCACATAACTGCAGGGTGTAAGATGCTGGCAGGGAAAGCAAACATGGAGCGACATAACCAAGTGGCGGGCATAGTGTACAGAAACATCTGTGCAGAGTACGGGCTGGAGACCCCAGGATCAAGGTGGGAAACACCTCCAAAGGTTGTGGAGAATGACCGAGCCAAGATCCTGTGGGACTTCCAGATACAGACTGACAGAATGGTGATGGACCAACCAGACATAGTGGTGGTGGATAAGAAACAGAGCAGAGCCGTGGTGGTTGACATCGCAATACCAAGCGATGGTAATATCAGGAAAAAGGAACACGAGAAGCTAGAGAAATACCAGGGGCTCAAGGAAGAGCTGGAGAGAGCCTGGAAAGTAAAGGCATCAGTGGTGCCTGTGGTGATCGGACACTCGAGGCTGTAACCCCCAAACTGGAAGAGGCTACAACAGATACCGGGAAAAACAATGGAACATCTCAGTCCAGAAAAGTGCAGTACTGGGAACAGCAAAGATACTGCGCAGAACTGTCAAGCTCCCAGGCCTCTGGTAGACGACCCGAGCTGAATGAGGGTGAGAGACCAACCACCGTGGAAGGTGAGAAACACATTTTTTTATATATATATATATAAAAAAAAAGTTAAAAAAAAAATATATATATATATATATATATATATATCCAATCCAATCCAATCCAATCCACTTTATTTATATAGCACATTTCACAAACAAACTGTTTCCAAAGTGCTGCACAAATACATAAAAAATAACAACAATAAGATGATAAAGTAAATTACTAAAATAATACTAGTCTTAAAGTAATAAAACTAGTAAAATAATATAAAACCAGTAAAATAAAACTATATTATAGAATAGAAATAAATAAACCAATAAATAAATTAAATCAGTAAAACCAATAAAAACATAAAAATAAATAAAAGACACAGAGGACCACACAACTCACGCGGTGTTAAAAGCCAGAGAATAAAAGTGGGTCTTCAGACGAGATTTAAAACTCTCCACTGTGGCTGCAGGAGCAGGACCTGAACACTTGAGCAATAGAGGCCCAACCCTAACCACAGCAGACAAGAACCACAGTGTAGGCTGTGCACAGAGCCATACCGGCTTGTAAAAGCCTGATCCTGTCAGATCTCAGAAGCTCAGCAGGCTGGGCCTGGGTAAGACTTGGATGGGAGACCGCTACGAATTCCAGGTGCCACAGTGGGCATCAGTGGCAAAAAACTGTCCTTAGGCAAGACACTTCACCCACATTGCCTAGTATGAAAGTGGTGTGTGTGTGAGTGATGGTGGTCGGAGGGGCCGATGGCGCAGATTGGCAGCCTCGCTTCTGTCAGTCTGCCCCAGGGCAGCTGTGGCTACAGTAGTAGCTTACCACCACTGAGTGTGGAGTGACTGAATAATGAACTGTAAAGCGCTTTGAGTATCTTGAAAGGCGCTATATAAATGCAATCAATCAATCATTCAGAGGCTCCTGAGACAGTCCAGCACAGAACTGCAGGTGTAAGATGCTGCAGGGAAACAAACATGAACCAACGAACCAAGTGTACAAAAACATCTGTGCAGAGTAAGGGGCTGGAGACCCCAAGGTCAAGGTGGGAAACACATCCAAAGGTCGTGGAGAAGAACCAAGCCAAGATTCTGTGAGACTTCCAGATAGAGACTGACAGGATGGTGATGGACCAACCAGACATAGTGGTGTTAAACAGCAGAGCCATGGTGGTGGACATCGCAACACCAAGAGATGGAACATCAGGAAAAAGGAACATGAGAAACTAGAGCAATACTAGGGGCTCAAGGAAGAGCTGGAAAAGGCCTGAAAGGTGAAGGCATCAGTGGTGCCCGACCCGTGGTAATCGGAGCACTTAGGGCACTAACCTCCTGGAGGAGGGTACAGCAGATCCCTCCAGAAACATCAGACATCAGTCTAGAAAAGTGCAGAACAGGAACAGCAAAGATACTGCACAGAACTCTTAAGTTCCCAGGCCTCTGGTAGAGGACCTGAGCTGGTTGAGGATGAGACCACCCACAGAGAGTGAGAAAGAAAGTGCATTTATATACAACTACAGTCTTTATCTGTGCATTTATAGCTACAGCTACAGTTAGCTGTGGTTAGACGCATCTGCAGGGGAGGCTGGTTATCGATTCTAATCTATTAATGAAATATTCATCAACTGCTACTACTACTACTGCTACTGCTACTACTACTACTACTACTACTACTACTACTACTACTACTACTACTACTACTACTACTACTGCTACTGCTACTACAACTACTGCTACTACTACTACTACTACTACTGACTACTGCTACTGCTACTGCTACTACTACTACTACTAGTACTGCTACTACTACTAGTATTTAAATAATCATAAGCACACACAGGCTCTGTTCTAGGACTATGATGCAGTCCAGGTCTAAGTCCTGATGCAGACACCGGAGACTCAGGGACTGACCGTGGGAGTCACATGTTTGCTCATCAGATGAAAGGAAATATCCGTCTGCACACGAGCATTTGACGCTACCACGCTCCACCTCACAGAAGTGATCACAGCCGCCATTTTGGTTCTCACACAGCTCTGGGATCACTGTAACAAACCACAAGAAGTCTTGGTTAGATTTAGATTAGTCCTGGTTTAATCCTGGTTTAGTCCTGGTTCAGTCCTGGTCTTGTACCTATCTCACAGTTGGCTCCTTGAAATCCAGTTCTGCAGAAACACTCAAAGCCCCCGGCAGTGTCTTTGCACACACCCTGGTTCATACATGGATTGGACTCACAGGCATCTCCATCTAAACCAGAATCAAACCGGGTCAGGACTGGACGAGGCTCAGATTATAACCAGACCAAAACCAAACTATTCAGATAAAAGTGAGTCTTACCAAAGTATTTCGCCCAAAACAAGTCCTGAAACAGAAACAGTTAGTTTAATACTTCTCAGTGGCCGGGATTTCTTTGCTCCAGGTCTATTGTAGATCTAAGCCAGGTCTAAACCCAGTCTAGACCAGGTCTTGGACTTACGGTCTGCTGTACATCCTCAAAGATCTCCCGGGCCTCCTCGTAGTCACAACGTTCCTCCACACACTCCCTCTCCATGTTTCCTTTTTTCATCTCTTCCAGGAAAGAGTTTGCTCTCCTGCTCCGAACCAAAACCTGTTGGGCCTGTTGCCGGGACACGAAGACCGAACCAGGTCCAGGACCTGGACCCAGACCCAGACCTGGGATAGACCAAGAGAAGAACCATGATCACAACGCTGAACACCAGAAGAAGTACCATCTCTGAAACAGGAGTGAACCAGGACTTTCCTATGGACATGGGCCCAGACCTCAGCCCGGGTTAAGAATCTGGAGTGAGGACTAGACTTAATGTAAACAGAGAGACCAGAAACCATCTAAACCAGGACTACACCAAGACTATACCAGGACTACACCAGACTAAACCAGGACTAAACCAGGACTAAACCAGGACTGAAGGACTAAACCAAAACTTATGTAGGAGTACACTGGGTCCAAAATAAGTCTACAGTAAAAATTAAACAGAGGTAGAATAGATTCTGAACCAGGACTAAACCAGGAATAAAGTTCACTTGGATCAATACACTAAAGTCTAGACCAAAACTGATACCCACTAAAGCCAAGCTTTAAAGAACCAATGGAATGCCTGAAGCAGGTCTAAAGCAGGTCTAAAGCAGGTCTAAAGCAGGTCTAAATTTAATCCAGGTCTTACCGTGAGTCCGGACCAGGTCCAGGAACAGCAGAAGTCCGAAAATCCGTAGCATGACTTTCACTCTCTCCTCACACACTCGTCTCCTCTCCTCCCTTGCCTCCTAGCTCCTTGTCTCCTACCCCACCTCCTAGCTCCTTGTCTCCTCCTCCTCTTAACTCCTCCTCTCCTCACCACGTGTCCTACTGCCTAGCTCCTTGTCTCCTCTCTCCTTGTTTCCTTTGATGAATAGTGTGTGATGGAGCAGCTGCACAGATCTTTGTCCTCGAGTTCACTGACCCAGACCAGGTCCTGAACCAGGTCTGAACCAGGTCTGAACCAGGTCTAAAACAGGTCTATAAAAGTTAGACCGGAGTGAAACCAAGTCTAACTCCATGAATCTTCATATAGACTGGTCCCTACAGTGATAAGTCAGGTTTTACTCCAGATGCCCTTTCTGTCCGCCCTAAATCTGTGCTGTTACTGTTGTATGCGGCGCCCCCTTGTGAACACATTTGAAAAACACACTCCTCTTTATTATTTATTTAAACATGATACAGCAGAGAATATACCAGGTGTGTTTATCTGTTATAAATCCTCCTGCACTGGGGGCAGGGGGTGGAGGGTCTCGTGGGTGGGTCCTGGTTTAGACCCTGGTGTAAACTTTAGTCCTGGTTTAGATCTAGGTCTTGACTCTGGTCCTCATTTAGATGCTGGTCTTGGATTGGGTCTTGGCTCTGGTCCTACACGTGCCTCTGCTCCAGCCCTGGTGCGCTTGCTGCAGGTGGGTTCTGGTCCTGGCTCAGACCCTGGTCTTGGTTCTGGTCCCGCAGGGTCTTGTGGATCCACTCGGTGAAGTGGGCCACGTTGGTGTAGACGCCATAGAACCCCGGCTCGGCACAGCCCCGCCCCCAACCCGCCACGCCCAACAGGAAATGGGTGGAGCCAAACTCTGTGATCAGTGGACTGCCATCGTCGCCACGGCAACTGTCTTGGCGCCCACTCAGGTAGCCGGCGCAGATCATGTGATCAGTCAGGTTCAATCCGGACTTTTGGACACATAAAGGATGCTGTTGAGACAATAGAAATATAAAATATAAATGTGAGATCTGATTATTATTGACTAACCCTAATCAGTGTAGTCACATGTGCAATAATGATCATGTTTGGATGATAATTTAGTCCATGTATAATCAATAATTCCAAAGGTTATATTTTAAAAAATAAATAAATAAATGTGTTCCTCACCTTCCACCTTGGCCTAGCACCCTCATCCAGCTCAGGCCTCAATCAGAGGAGCGTGACAGTTCAATCTATCGATCTATCTATATAGATCTAGATATAGATCTAGATATAGAGATATCTCACCCTCTGCATTCACACTTTATTTTACCTGTTAGGCTGAAAAACTGATCCAGGATCAGTTTAAATCTGCCCTGTGATCGAGTGGGTTCTGATTGGTCACCTACATGTCAACGCCTCAAACTAATGATCTGATATTTAAAATATATGATATATTTTATAATGAATCTTAGTCTGAAATGGAGTCACAAAGTTCAATGTTAAATATGTTGTTCTGTGAATTCAGTTTGTGGAAGAATCTGGATGCCACACTGAATAGGGTTAGGGTTAGTCCTAGTGTAGTCCTGGTTTAGTCCTGGTCTAGTCCTGGTCTAGTCCTGCTTTAGTGGATCTGGGTGCTACTCAGCTGAACAGAGGAGCGACTCAGCAACTCTGGATTAAACAGGGAAAGACACACAACACTATGCAGCACTCTGCAGTACTTGTACTGTAGTACTGTAGTAAGCTGTATAATATGCACCTTCATCCTCTTCATATACGGGCCTCCAGGTGCACTCTGGGAGATGTAGTTCTTGTGTTCTATACTGTGCAGTACTTGTAGTACTACACAGTGCTTCGCAGTATTTGTACTATATTACCTGAATAATGGGCACCTCCATCTTCCTCATGTGCGGGCCTCCAGGTGCACTCTGGGAGTTAGGGTTCTTATTTCCTCCATTTGTCCTCTGACCCCAGCCTGAGACCGTGTGGTACCGGGTCTGGACCAGTTCTCTTTCGGTCAGGTCCAGATTTGGGAGACAGACCGGGACCACGTCTCGGTTCAGAATCAGGGCCTGGTCTAACTGGATCAGAGCCAAATCCCTGTGTCCAGAGACCCAGCTGTACTCAGGAGCCAGAACCACAGACCGGACCGAGACCCGCTGCTCAGAACCCGACCAGGATTCTACGTCCAAGACCCCTACAACAGGACCAGACCAGGTCTGATTAACTTCTGTTCACCTTCATCTTATTGGACAAAAATCAACTTCATTAAAATTCAGATCTGGGCGTAGACTGGAAATGCACAGAGCTAACGCGCAAACCGCTACATTCCAAACAGGAAATGAGCACTGGTGCTCTTTTGGCTCCTTTTGGCTCCTTCTGACTCTGGCTCTCATTGACTGTATGTGGACATACTGGTCTGGCCCGGCCTCTGAGCTTCTGTGATCTGATGGGATCGGATTTTGACAAAAAGGGTTAGGACTTGGATGGGAGACAATGAGAAAATCAGGAGCCACAGGAGGCGGGTGTGTGTGTGTGTGTGTGTGTGTGTGCGTGTGCGTGTGTGCGTGATGGTGGGAGTCGGAGGGGTTGATGGTGCAGATTGGCAGCCTCGCTTCCGTCAGTCTGCCCCAGGGCAGCTGTGGTTACAATAGTAGTTTAACACCACCGGGTTTGGAGTGAATGAATAATGTTCTGATAATGTGTCTTTGAGTGTCCAAAAAGTGCTGTATAAATCTGAGGCATTATTAATATTTATTGTTATTTACATTGTTAAATTGTGGCTCCTCTGTCTGTAAGTGCTGCCGTGAGCCTCGTCAGTTTGTTTGTATTAACTCGCTCTACATGATTCTGGGGTTTGTTTTTCAGTATTTTGTAGGTTAAAAAAATCCTATTCATAAACTAGAGCCTGGCTCCAAATTCATCCCTGTAACTGTGAACATCGCGAGCTTCATTTGAGTTGTGGCAAATGCTGTGGTGACACAACACTCGCTCAGTCCACTAACCCTAACCCTAATCCTAACCCTAGGGTGTTACCTCCAGTAACAGACAGGGTCAGGGTTAGGGGGTCAGGGGGGTTTGGGTTTGGGTCAGGGTGTTATGGGGCTGTGGGGTCAGGGTGTTACCTGCCACCACAGACAGGTTCTGGGGGGACAGGTCCGACACACAGTGAGCCGCAGTCAGGATCCAGTCCGGTCTGATCAGTGCACCCCCACAGTGAGGCGTTCGGTTCAACTCCAGCAGCACCTGGCACACAAGGGGCAGGGTCTCATGATGATGTAATAATACATTATGTAAATGAGGTCAGGTGACGCACCTGCCAGGGACACTGCCCCCTCGGACACTGGTTTGACCCCACGAGTCTGGTCTGAGGTCTCAGGGTCTGGTTCAGTCCAGGGTCTGGGACCAGCTGCCCACACGGGAACTCCACTGAAACATATAAGATCTCAGATCCTGGTCTAGACCTGCTCAGGTTCAGTCCTGGGTTAGACTCAATTTAGGCCCACTTTAGTCCTACTTTAATCCCACTTTCCCACTAGTCCTGCTGTAGTCCTGGTTCAGTCCTGGGTTAGGCCTGGTTTAGTCCTGGTTTAGTCCTGGTTTATTCCTGGTCTTACCTTGGGCATCACAGCTGCGGTGATCTTCTCCAAGCTTGTATCCTTCTGCACAGAAGCAGCGACGTTTGGCTCCAGAGCCGTCGCAGAATTGTTCACAGCGACCGTTTTGGAACAGGCACTTCAGAGAGTCCTCAAACACTGCACAGAAACACATAATGATTAAATATAATATTAATATAATATAACACAGAACAGGCACTTAGGACTAACCCTCGGGAGTAACACAGTAAAAACTATAAACTCAGATAAATCAAATATTGTGACCCTGACATTGCTTCATTTGCAGTTGTATTAAACTATTCGTCCCTCAGTCCAACTCTAAAACATTTTTATCCATTTCTCAGCTCATCCAAGCCACTTCTTCAGTTCTGGTCAGACGCTTGTAGTGCTTTTATCTGCCTGAAGGGGGCGCTCACTACACAGAAACTACTCTGAAACTGACATCAGATCTCAATGTGAAAAAATATGTTGGACATTTACACAAATATGGACACGGAAATGTCTTAGAAGTATTAAGTAGTTAGTTGTTATTTTGGTAGTACCTGTCTGAGAGTGTTACAGATGTAGTGGGTATCGTAGTAGAAGTAGTAGTAGTAGTAGCAGCAGTAGCAGTAGAAGTAGTAGTAGTATTTTGGTAGTACCTGTCTGACAGTGGTTTCCCTCAAAGCCCTCAGGACACAGGCAGGTGTAGGACGCCCCCGTCTGGCGACAGGTGCCGTTGTTCTGGCAGCGGTTTGTGGCACAGGGGTCCGTTTCTGCATCAGAGGAACAAGTATGAACAGGTGTACACAATAATACACAAATATACACAATAATACACAAATATACAAGTCACTGTGTGTGTGTGTTCTTCAGGTGGTCTGGCTGTGCTGTGTCCAGTGTCGGAACTGAAAAAAATAAATGCTGCTGCTGACCTCCCCTGACCCCTGTGTGACCCCTGCTCTGATTGGTCGGTTTGGGGGTTGGAGTTAAATCACAAGCAGATGTTTGAGATACTCACTCCTGTAGGTGCTCCAGAACTCCCGCTAGAATAAACAAAAGACAATTAGTCCTGGTTCAGTCCTGGTGCAGTCCTGGTGCAGTCCTGGTTTAGTCCTGGTGCAGTCCTGGTTCAGTCCTGGTTCAGTCCTGGTTCAGTCCTGGTTTAGTCCTGGTTCAGTCCTGGTTTAGTCCTGGTTCAGTCCTGGTTTAGTTCTCTCTCACGGTCTTGGCCTCGTCCTCAAACACTTCTCGTGCTTCTTCGTAGTCGCAGATTTCTTCCACACACTCTCTCTCCAGGTTTCCCTGTTTTAGCTCCTCCAGAAATCCGCTGTTGGCCCGTTTGGACCGGACCAGGACCGAGTGGGCCTCAGACGGGTCTAGGAACACTGGCACACAGAACTGGTTAGACCTAATCTAGTCCTGATGTAGTTCTGATCTAATCTTAGTCTAGTCCTAGTCTAGTCCTTCTTTAATCTATACATTTAATCCCAATCAAATAACAATTTAAACGGTCACAGTTAAGCCACAGCAAAGCACAACAACCCAAACCCAAACCTGAACCCAAACCCGGACCCGAACCTAAACCCAAACCTGGACCCTACTGTTCAGATAATAAAAGTTTTATTACAAATCCATGAATGCAACGAGGAGAAAAAAATCCCTGAAATGCTGGAGCAGCGAGAAATTACCAATCATTAAAACAAAAGAACTCAGGTTTGGTGGGAGATCAGGACGTGAACGTTTGACTGAACTGTTAACTCCATTTATATTGTTTAAAACCACTTACCATCCACCCGCCCGCCGGCGGGCGATTTTCCAATAAAAAATGTTCACTCTGTATATTCACCTTCATTATTGTTTTCACTACTGGCCATACATCGTTTGAAAGCTTAATTTATCAATAAAACAACCATATCATTCATTTTATGCCGTACAACGAGCCCGAATTTATGTGAATTTAAAAATTCACATCATAAACAAAGAATAAGATACGCGTTTCTTACCTTTGAGCGGTTCTGTCGGTCCAAAACGCGTTCAATCCATGAAAAGTTGTACTCAATAAATCCGTAATAATAAACAGAAAAAGAATATCAAGTTGATTTTTCCATAAAATAATTCCATGTGGGGGAATAATCCAGAAAACCGTCGTCCGTATGAGTGGATGAATCCGTGAATGAAAATATTCTGTCTCTTCTCCGCCTCTTCTCCCGCTCTCACTTCCCTTTCTCTCCCGCTCTTGGGTGCGCTTGTTTTCCTCACACTCTTAGCTTCAAAATGAGACCCTCCCCGCTGTTGTCGGTGGCGGGGTTTAGGTGGGACAAGCCGCTGAAGAAGCTAACGCACTCACGTACTTCCTGGCTTTATGCACGCGTCATCAGTTTGTTTACGGGAAATCTCTTCAGTCATTGGATCTTCCAGAAAGTGATTGACATATTGTTTTAGCCTATCACCAGAGCTTTCAAACGGTGGGTGGGACATGCAGATAGTCTTTGAAACGGGCGCTGTGTTTATAAGCGTAAGAGAGAGAGACACAGAGAAGCAGTGTGGGAGGGGTCATGGAGCGCAGATCTGCCAGTTGGAAGACAATTTTGGCTACTTTTAGTTTTTTTCTTGAGAAAACATGCCTAAAGCTCAGAAGAATTAGTATTATAATAATAACAATTATTATTATTATTATATTATTATTATTATTTTGGCACAAATTTGGCAATCTTGTGCCGAATTGTCATTTTGTTTACACAAAGGCTCACAGCATCAAAACCCTTTGTCCTACAGATCTGAAATTCTACACAGTTGTTGCCAACAATGAGTGTAGTGAGTCACAAATGCCTAGTATGAAGTATGACCAAGCTAAGGCCTTTATTTTTTTCTTTTTTTTTTCCGAAGCAACAAATACAATTTTTATTCAATTTTAATTGACTGTACTGTAGGTGAGGCAGCACTCACAGTCTTCATGTACATATCTACAGAAACTAGAAGGTCTAAGCTTTAAAATGGTGCCTCACACAAGCATGTGGGTTCTAAGGTGTAGTGATATTGTGCACACACCAAAATTAGGTGGTGTGTCAGGTCCCTCCCCGTGTGTCAGGTCCCTCCCCGTGTGTCAGGTCCCTCCCCGTGTGTCAGGTCCCTCCTTCTGTCTCCATGCGGTTTTATTCTGTGTTCAAAGTTCAGATTTCAGTCTGTCAGATGTGAACGTTTTTGGAATGTGACCTGTGACCTCTGACCTGTTTAAACAAAAATCACAAATTTGTATTTTATTAACATGACTAAAGCTAAAATAAAATACCCACTGCCTCATGATTTAAGTTGAGCAGAGGAGGAGCTGAGTGTTGGAGTTCAGTCTCTTGACGATGTTTCAGGTTTGAGGCATGAAAAAGAAAACAGCCAAAGGCACTTTTCCTCTTTTACACTTTTCCTCTTTTACACTTTTCCTCTTTTACACTTCATTTACTCTCAGTCCCAGCCTGATATAATGTGTTTCTTCAAACTAATGCAGCGATGGTGGGTCTTTGATTTTTTGTCTAAAATGTTAAGAGCTTGTTTATATCCTGTTTTATTTCATTTCAGAGTTGTGTTGCACGCTGAGGCCCAGCTTGTCCTGCACTACGTCATGTGAGAAACAATCACTGCATTAAAAACAGCTTAAACGGTCTCTTATGTGTTTGAGACAAATGTTTGAGCTTGACTCTTATTTAAATTAAAGTGTCTCAGCTGGTGTTCATTTTATCATTACAAGGGATTATCTTCTGCAACAGAGTTTAATTTTTTTTAAAAACATACAGATGGTTTTAGTCACATTAGGACCAGCTGAGACGTCTGCAGCTTCTGAAACTGTTTTTATTGCAGGTGTCAGTTCTGGAGCTGCTTGATGTTTATTTTTTGCAGAGACATAGACGATTGTGTCACCTGCATAAAACTGGCACTGAACACTGGATGGGCAGCACCAGGAAGATCTTTTATATAAAGACAAAATAATAAAGGTGATAAAGCTGAGCCTTGTGGAAGTCGTAGCTGCTTTACACATGTAGGTGATGAAGAATTCTGTAACAAACAGTTTTCTCTGTGTACAGGGTGTGAGGAGAAGTTAAAGTTTGATCATTTATTGAGTAAGATTTGGCCGCTGACAGTTTCGAAGGCTTCTTGGGGTTTAGGAAAACTGCTCCAACAACTCCTGCTCTGTCAGTGTTCAGTTTTAGTTTTACTTAAAGAAAGAATAAGGCTGTTTCTGTGGAGTTCGGGTTTAGGTGTTTAGGGTTTCCTAAAGACAAATTGAATTTGGTGTAGATAAAAAATAAAAAAAACGTGATTTAGGTGCCTCATAAGTTGTTCTGTTACACATTTTACTGCTGGACTTTAGGTCTGGACCTGCTTGTTTCTTTTGAATCTCCAGATGTAAATTGCAGAGATTTCCCAAGAGTCTGCTGGAATTTATTGATTCATGTATAATTCTAGTTATGGTGATATGAGAGATTGTTTGTGTGTTTTAATAAACATTTCTCTTTGGCCTTAGAGTTTTTTTAGACCACTGATTATTTTATGAATTTGCATCTGTGATCCTTCAGAATAATTCTGCTCTCAATGTTTTTCAGCCTTTGGTCCTGGTTTAGTCCTGGTTTAGTCCTAGTCTAGTCTCCTGGTTTTGTTCTAGTTTAGTCCGTTTATTCATGTTTTAGTTCTGGTTTGGACCTGGTTTAGTCCCGGAGTCAGTCCTTTTTTAGTCCTGGTTTAGTCCATGATTTCTCCTTGGTTAAATTTAAACAGGCATAGAATAAACAAAAACACAGAAAAGATAATGTGTTTTATTTAAAGGGACTGACCTGCAGCGCTGGAAAAAGATCCCAGAGAGACCAGGACCAGGGCCAGGATCAAGACTGGACCGGGTCCCTTGGCCAGACCTCGGACCATAGAGAACCTCGCAGGAGACATGTTGAGTTCTGGGGTTAGTCCTGAGTCTAACTGAGAAAACAAGAGCTGGAACTCTGCTTCAGCCAATCAGGTAAGAGAGTCAGGTCAACGGGCCAATCAGAGGCCACGCTGTTCAAACAAACTCTGACCCTGTTTAGGGTTAAAACTCAGGTCTAGACCAGGATTAAACCAGGACTAAACCAGGTCTAGACCAGCCCTGAACCAGGACTGGACCAAAGACCAGGTTTGCATGAAGCTCAGGTCCTGACAAAAAAAAATAAAGATAAATTTTTATTATTAACTTGACGAGTTTAAAGAGCGAAACAGGAAGTGATTCAATGAAATGTTTCATTTAAAATCATTAAATACAGAGTCACCATTTTATAATCTCCTGCCCCCCCAACCCTAACCCCCACAGGACCCCCTCCACCCCCACCCCTCACGACCCCCCTCCCCCTCCCCTCCCCCTCACGACCCCTCACGACCCCCTCCCCCTCACGACCCCCCTGCCCCTCCCCCTCATGACCCCCTGCCCCCTCCCCCCTCACGACCCCCCTGCCCCCTCCCCCTCACGACCCCCCTGCCCCCTCCCGCCCCGCGACCCCTCGATCCGACCCCAACCGAAACAGTGTCTGTGTAAAGTTCTTTTAGAAAGACAAGAAAAATAAGACAAAATGAAAACCAACTTTATTAACAGCAGAAATTAAACATTATTTTATTAAATGATTAATTTATTTTTATTATATTTAACTTTTATTTTCTTTATTGTGAGGGTTTCATTTGATTATGAATTATAAATGATTAAATAAATAAAACTGAGGAACTTTCATCATGAGTTCACATCATTTTGACTCAAACCTGGTCCCAGTTCTGGTCTTAGGTCGAGTCCTGTTCCTGGGTCTAGTCTCGTCCTGGGGTTTAGAAGTAGATCTAGCCTTGGTCCTGGGTCTGGGTCTGGTTCTGGTCCGCTGTTAGACTCTGGTTTTGCTGTGAAGCTCCGGTCTCATTGTAGAAGAGACCCTGGTCCAGTTCTGACCCGGTCTGGTTATAGACCTGGTTTTGATTGACCTCCTGCCCAGCTATGGTCTGGTCTTTGTCTGGTCTTAGATCTTGATTCAGATTCTGGACCGGTTCAGCTGTGGTCTGGTTTTGGTCCGATCCCGGGTCTTGGTTCAGGTCTTGACTCAGTTTGGATGTGGTCTGACCCGGTTGACTGCTCTGGTCTTTTCCTGGTCCTGGGTCTTGGTTCTGGTCTCCTCCTGGTCCCAATCCGGTCTTGGCTCTGATCCAGTCCAGGTAGTTGGCGACCCGTGTGTAGATGCCGTACTGACCCGGTCTGGCACAGCCTCGGCCCCAGGACACGATCCCGGTCAGGAACCAGGTCCCTCTGAAATGGGCCACCAGGGGGCCTCCCGAGTCGCCCTTACACGAGTCCTGCTGCCCCCCCAGGAACCCGGCGCACATCATGTTCTGGGTCAGAACCAGACCGGTCTCGTCCTGACAGGTCTGAGTCCGGACCAGAGGCACCTGAGGCACAAACAACACTGATAGTTTTGTAAAATCTGGTCTAGACCTGGTCTCTGTTCTAGATCTGGTCTAGTCCTGGTCTAGACCTGGTCTCACCTGTAGTTTCTTCAGGACTCTGGAGGTTGGTCCGGCCTCGTGCACGCGCCCCCAGCCGCTGACCATGTGCACGCTCTTGCTGTGCAGTTGTGTGTGTGCGTGCGCGCTCGTGGGCAGGCACACGGGGACGGCGTGTGATGTCACGGCGAGGGGCGTGGCCATGCGCAGCAGAGCGATGTCATTGTCCGCCGTGCGCCGATCGTAGCGCTCGTGCACGTGAATCTCCGACACACCGACCCTCTGCTCCGAGCCCTCGGACAAGTCCACGTCATGCTCCCCTGAAATAGACCAGAACCGGGTCAGAACCAGGTCTAGACCTGAACTAATCCAGGTCTAACCCTGATGTAGGTGACGTGTGACATACCGGCCACAGCCTCCAGGTGGCGCTGCTTGGTGTCCTCCAGGCAGTGGGCCGCAGTCGCGATCCAGTCCGGACTCAAAAAAACCCCCCCACAGAACGGCCGCTCTTTGTACAGGAGCAAGACCTGGACCAGAACAGGGTCTAAACAAGTCTAAAACAGGTCTAAAACAGGTCTAAAACAGGTCTAAGTCAGGTCTAACGCTGGTCTGGACTAGGCCTGAACCAGGACCAAAACAAGGTCTGGACCAAGACTAAGTCCGGTCTTACCGTCCAGGGACACTCTCCTCTCGGACACTCGGCTCCGCCCACGATCCGGGCTCTGGGGTCCAGAGCCGGACTGGACCTGTCCCCAAGAACCGGAACCATCCCACAGGCAATGGGCTCTGAAACAAGATCAGGGCCGGATCAGGGCCGGACCAGGGCCGGACCAGGGCCGGACCAAGGCCGGACATCCTTTCTCTTCCTCTCTTTTCATCTCTCTGTACCTGAGCTGTTGCAGTCGATCTGGTTATGATCCAGGTGGTACCCGTCGGCGCAGCTGCACTTTGGCCCCGCCTCCTGCTCCTCGCAGAAATGTGCACATCCTCCATTCTCCACCAGGCAGCGCCGTCGAGCCGCGTGGTCGTCTGCAACACAGAGACTACAGCTCCCAGGATGCACCGGGGCAGACTACAGCTCCCAGGATGCACCGGGGCAGACTACAGCTCCCAGGATGCACCGGGGCAGACTACAGCTCCCAGGATGCACCGGGACAGACTACAGCTCCCAGGATGCACCGGGGCAGACTACAGCTCCCAGGATGCACCGGGAGGTTCAACACAAACCTGCAGACGCCTGAGGTTTGTGTCAGTGTGAGTTTGTTCTGTGACACAGACACAGTTTGATCTACAAACATCGAAATACAGACGGACGGGTGACGTCTGTGAGTGACGGGTGAAGTCTGTGAGTGACAGGTGAGGCCTGTGGGCGACGGGTGAGGTCTGTGTGTGACGGGTGAGGTCTGTGTGTGACGGGTGAGGTCTGTGTGTGACGGGTGAGGTCTGTGGGCGACGGGTGAGGTCTGTGGGCGACGGGTGAGGTCTGTGTGTGACAGGTGAAGTCTGTGAGTGACGGGTGAGGTCTGTGGGCGACGGGTGAGGTCTGTGGGCGACGGGTGAGGTCTGTGGGCGAGGTCTGTGGGCGACGGTCTGTGGGCGACGGGTGAGGTCTGTGGGCGACGGGTGAGGTCTGTGAGTGACGGGTGAGGTCTGTGGGCAACGGGTGAGGTCTGTGAGTGACGGGTGAGGTCTGTGGGCGACAGGTGAGGTCTGTGAGTGACGGGTGAGGTCTGTGGGCAACGGGTGAGGTCTGTGAGTGACGGGTGAGGTCTGTGGGCGACAGGTGAGGTCTGTGAGTGACGGGTGAGGTCTGTGGGCGACGGGTGAGGTCTGTGAGTGACGGGTGAGGTCTGTGAGTGACGGGTGAGGTCTGTGGGCGACGGGTGAGGTCTGTGAGTGACGGGTGAGGTCTGTGGGCGACGGGTGAGGTCTGTGAGTGACGGGTGAGGTCTGTGAGTGACAGGTGAGGTCTGTGGGCGACAGGTGAAGTCTGTGAGTGACAGGTGAGGTCTGTGGGCGACGGGTGAGGTCTGTGGGCGACTGTACCGAGCTGGCAGGTGAGCCCGGAGAAGTTGGGGGGGCACAGACAGGTGAAGCTCTGCCCCAGGTCCAGACAGGTGCCTCCGTTCTGACAGGGTCCAGATGAGCAGGGGTCTTGGACTACAGACACCAGAGGACTGCGTTACCCAGAATGCACCAGTACAGAGCGCGCTCAGTACAAACACAAGACTCACCGCGATACGTTTTCCAGAACTCGTTCTGAAACAAAAGACAAGTTAGAACCAGGACTAAACCAGGACTAACCCAGGTCTAAACCAGGTCTAAACCAGGACTAAACCAGGACTAAACCAGGTCTAAACCAGGACTAAACCAGGACTAAACCAGGTCTAAACCAGGACTAAACCAAGTCTAAACCAGGTCTAAACCAGGTCTAAACCAGGACTAAACCAGGACTAAACCAGGTCTAAACCAGGACTAAAACCAGGTCTAAACCAGGACTAAACCAGGTCTAAACCAGGACAAACCAGGTCTAAACCAGGTCTAAACCAGGTCTAAACCAGGACTAAACCAGGTCTAAACCAGGACTAAACCAGGTCTAAACCAGGTCTAAATCAGGTCTAAACCAGGTCTAAACCAGGACTAAACCAGGTCTAAACCAGGACTAAACCAGGATGCTCAAATACTTCTCTGGCAGTAGTAATAGTAGTATTAGTATTACAGTAGTAGTCATAGTAGTCGTAGTAGTAGTAGTAGTAGTAGTACTACAGTAGTAGTAGTAGTAGTAGAAGTAGTACTAGAGTAGTAGTAGTAGTAGTAGTAGTACTACAGTAGTAGTAGTAGTAGTAGTAGTACTACAGTAGTAGTAGTAGTAGTAGTAGTAGTAGTAGTACTACAGTAGTAGTAGTAGTAGTAGTAGTAGTACTACAGTAGTAGTAGTAGTAGTAGTAGTACTACAGTAGTAGTAGTAGTAGTAGTAGTAGTTAGTAGTAGTAGTAGTAGTAGTAGTACTACAGTAGTAGTAGTAGTAGTAGTAGTAGTAGTAGTAGTAGTAGTAGTACTAGTAGTAGTAGTAAGTAGTAGTAGTAGTAGTAGTACTACAGTAGTAGTAGTAGTAGTAGTAGTACTACAGTAGTAGTAGTAGTAGTAGTACTACTATAGTAGTAGTAGTAGTAGTAGTAGTAATACTACAGTAGTAGTAGTAGTAGTAGTAGTACTACAGTAGTATTCACAGTAGTAGTAGTAGTAGTAGTAGTAGTAGTAGTAGTAGTAGTAGTAGTAGTACTACAGTAGTACTCACAGTAGTAGTAGTAATAGTAGTAGTAGTAGTACTACAGTAGTAGTAGTAGTAGTAGTAGTAGTACTACAGTAGTACTCACAGTAGTAGTAGTAGTAGTAGTACTAGTAGTACTACAGTAGTAGTAGTAATAGTAGTAGTAGTAGTACTACAGTAGTAGTAGTAGTAGTAGTACTACAGTAGTACTCACAGTAGTAGTAGTAGTACTACAGTAGTAGTAGTAGTAGTAGTAGTATTACAGTAGTACTCACAGTAGTAGTAGTAGTAGTAGTAGTACTACAGTAGTAGTAGTAGTAGTAGTAGTATTACAGTAGTACTCACAGTAGTAGTAGTAGTAGTAGTAGTACTACAGTAGTACTCACAGTAGTAGTAGTAGTACTACAGTAGTAGTAGTAGTAGTAGTAGTATTACAGTAGTACTCACAGTAGTAGTAGTAGTAGTAGTAGTAGTACTACAGTAGTAGTAGTAGTAGTACTACAGTAGTACTCACAGTAGTAGTAGTAGTAGTAGTAGTACTACAGTAGTAGTAGTAGTAGTAGTAGTACTACAGTAGTAGTAGTAGTAGTAGTACTACAGTAGTAGTAGTAGTAGTAGTACTACAGTAGTACTCACAGTAGTAGTAGTACTACAGTAGTAGTAGTAGTAGGACTACAGTAGTACTCACAGTAGTAGTAGTAGTAGTACTCACAGTAGTAGTAGTAGTAGTAGTAGTACTACAGTAGTACTCACAGTAGTAATAGTAGTAGTAGTAGTACTACAGTAGTAGTAGTAGTAGTAGTACTACAGTAGTACTCACAGTAGTAGTAGTAGTAGTACTACAGTAGTACTCACAGTAGTAGTAGTAATAGTAGTAGTAGTAGTACTACAGTAGTAGTAGTAGTAGTAGTACTACAGTAGTACTCACAGTAGTAGTAGTAAAAGTAGTAGTAGTAGTACTACAGTAGTAGTAGTACTACAGTAGTAGTAGTAGTAGTAGTACTACAGTAGTACTCACAGTAGTAGTAGTACTACAGTAGTAGTAGTAGTAGTACTACAGTAGTAGTAGTAATAGTAGTAGTAGTAGTACTACAGTAGTAGTAGTAGTAGTAGTACTACAGTAGTACTCACAGTAGTAGTAGTAGTAGTAGTACTACAGTAGTACTCACAGTAAGTAGTAGTAGTAGTAGTAGTAGTAGTACTACAGTAGTAGTAGTAGTAGTAGTACTACAGTAGTACTCACAGTAGTAGTAGTAGTAGTAGTACTACAGTAGTACTCACAGTAGTAGTAGTAGTAAGTAGTAGTAGTAGTAGTACTACAGTAGTAGTAGTAGTAGTAGTACTACAGTAGTACTCACAGTAGTAGTAGTAGTAGTACTACAGTAGTAGTAGTAGTAGTAGTAGTAGTAGTAGTAGTAGTACTACAGTAGTAGTAGTAGTAGTAGTACTACAGTAGTACTACAGTAGTAGTAGTAGTAGTAGTACTACAGTAGTACTCACAGTAGTCTCCGTGTGTTCAAATACTTCTCGTGCTTCCTCGTAGCTGCAGATTTCTTCCACACATTCTCGTCTCAAGTCGCCTTTCTGCAGCTCCTCCAGCCAACCCGAGTTCGCCCTGCGAGACCGGACCACAGACCGGACCGAACCGAGACCGGGATCTAGACCAGGACCGGGGTCTGAGCCTCTGATGGACTGTACCAGGACTTGACCAGACCTCAGCACCCGGTGAGCCTGCTCTGCATCCAGGAACACTGAGACCAAAGAGAGACCAAAAGTGACTAAACCTGGACTAAACCTGGACTAAACAAGGACTTAACCTGGACTTAACCAGGAACAAACCTGGGTCTAAACCAGGACTACACCAGAACTAAACCAGGACTAACCTGAAGCAGACCGGGCTGAGGACAGTCCCAGTAGAACCAGTAAAACCAGGTCCATGATGATCCAGACCTCACTCTGGACCTTAGGCCAAAGTCTGGTCAGCTGATCCTCAAGAGCCAATCAGAGCACAGGAAGCAGTCACATGACCTCAGAATCAATAATGTCCACAACTTCAAATCGATAAATATTTATTTAAAACTTTAATTTATTTAAACTTTTATTTATTTAAAACAGAAATCACAAAGGTTCGGTTCAATAAAACAGAAGAATCACAAAGTCCAGCTCAGACTCGAGCAGAGACTCAGACTAAACTTTTCAGTATGAAATAAATCTGCAGATCCTGCATTTGTCTGAGTGCTCACAGAGTCCAGGTCTAGTCCAGGTCTAGTCCAGGTCTAGTCCAGGTCTAGTCCAGGTCTAGTTCAGATTATGAGGCAGCCTTCAGAGCCAGATCTATAACCGGTCTGAGCTGGTCCTCGAGGTCCTGAGGGTCTCCATCGTTTGAGATGATCCAGTCCCAGTCCACGCCAGAGTCCAGACCACACTCAGACTCTGCGTCGTCCACTCCTTCAAAATAAAACACAAAACAGCAGCCTTCAAAATAAAAGACTGGTTTAGTTTTAGTCCTGGCGACTAAACCAGGACAAAACCAGGACTAAACCAGGTCTAAACCAGGACTAAACCAGGACTGAACCAGGTCTAAACCAGGACTAAACCAGAACTACACCAGGACTAAACCAGGACTGAACCAGGTCTAAACCAGGACTAAACCAGGACTAAACCAGGTCTAAACCAGGTCTAAACCAGGTCTAAACCAGGACTGAACCAGGACTAAACCAGGTCTAAACCAGGACTAAACCAGGACTAAACCAGGTCTAAACCAGGTCTAAACCAGGACTGAACCAGGACTGAACCAGGACTAAACCAGGACTAAACCAGGACTAAACCAGGACTAAACCAGGACTAAACCAGGACTAAACCAGGTCTAAACCAGGTCTAAAACAGGTCTAAAACAGGACTAAAACAGGACTAAACCAGGTCTAAACCAGGACTAAAACAGGACTAAACCAGGTCTAAACCAGGTCTAAAACCAGGACTAAACCAGGTCTAAAACAGGTCTAAACCAGAACTAAACCAGGTCTAAACCAGGACTAAACCAGGACTAAACCAGGTCTAAACCAGGTCTAAACCAGGACTAAACCAGGTCTAAACCAGGACTAAACCAGGTCTAAACCAGGACTAAACCAGGACAGGACTAAACCAGGCTAAACCAGGTCTACTAAACCAGGACTAAACCAGGACTAAACCAGGACTGAACCAAGTCTAAACCAGGACTGAACCAGGACTAAACCAGGACTAAACCAGGTCTAAACCAGGACTAAACCAGGACTGAACCAGGACTGAACCAGGACTAAACCAGGTCTAAACCAGGACTAAACCAGGACTAAACCAGGACTAAACCAGGTCTAAACCAGGTCTAAACCAGGACTAAACCAGGACTAAACCAGGTCTAAACCAGGACTAAACCAGGACTAAACCAGGACTCACCAACAGTGAAGCTCCACCCGCGGCTGATCCTGGTCTGGTCTGAACATTGGACCCGGACAGACCGGGTCTGAGTCGGGTACTGGGTCCGGAACCAAGTCAAGTCTGAGATCCTGCGAGCGTCACTCACCATCTGAACACACAACACACACACACACACACACACACACACACACACACACACACACACACACACACACACACACACACACACACACACACACACACACACACACACACACACACACACACACACACACACACACACACACACACACACACACACACACACACACACACACACACACACACACACACACACACACACACACACACACACACACACACACACACACACACACACACACACACACACACACACACACACACACACACACACACACACACACACACACACACACACACACACACACACACACACACACATCACACACACACACACACACACACACACACACACACACACACATACAACACACACACACACACACACACACACACACACACACACACACACACAGCACACACACACACACACACACACACACACACAACACACACACACACACACACACACACACACACAACACACAACACACACACAACACAACACAGAAACACACATATGTACAGGTTTAAGCTTAGTTGTAGTTGTAGTACTATAGTAATAGTAACGAAGGTACTACACCCAGTGTGTACTCACAGTAGTACACAGGTAGTACTCATGTAGTAATACACAGGTAGTAGTACACAAGTATACACAGGTAGTAGTACACAGGTAGTAGTCCTCAGGTAGTACACAGGTAGTAGTACTCATGCAGTAGTACTCTTGTAGTATTCATGCAGTAGTACACATGTAGTAGTATTCGTGTAGTACTAGTGTAGTACTCGTGCAGTAGTACTCGTGTAGTACTCGTGTAGTACTCGTGCAGTAGTACTCGTGTAGTAGTATTCGTGTAGTAGTACTCCTGTAGTACTCGTGTAGTACTCGTGCAGTAGTACTCGTGTAGTACTCGTGTAGTAGTATTCGTGTAGTACTCATGTAGTAGTACTCGTGTAGTAGTATTCGTGTAGTACTCATGTTGTAGTACTCGTGTAGTAGTACTCGTGTAGTAGTACTCGTGTAGTAGTACTCGTGTAGTACTTGTGTAGTACTCGTGCAGTAGTACTCGTGTAGTACTCGTGTAGTACTCGTGCAGTAGTACTCGTGTAGTAGTATTCGTGTAGTAGTACTCCTGTAGTACTCGTGTAGTACTCGTGCAGTAGTACTCGTGTAGTACTCGTGTAGTAGTATTCGTGTAGTACTCATGTAGTAGTACTCGTGTAGTAGTATTCGTGTAGTACTCGTGTAGTAGTACTCGTGTAGAAGTATTCGTGTAGTACTCGTGTAGTAGTACTCGTGTAGTAGTACTCGTGCAGTAGTACTCGTGTAGTACTCATGTAGTAGTATTCGTGTAGTACTCATGTAGTAGTACTCGTGTAGTAGTATTCGTGTAGTACTCGTGTAGAAGTATTCGTGTAGTACTCGTGTAGTAGTACTCGTGTAGTAGTACTCGTGTAGTACTCGTGTAGTACTCGTGTAGTAGTAGTACTCCTGTAGTACTCCGTGTAGTACTCGTGTAGTAGTACTCCGGTAGTACTCCTGTAGTACTCGTGTAGTAGTACTCGTGTATCGTACCCAGACAGGTTGAGTGGCGTTCCTTGTTGCTAGGCGACAGAAGAATCCCGGGTCGTTCCTCCTTTGGTCTTCGCCCCAGTGGATCATCTGAGACCGAAACCGCTCCTTATACGGACCAGGACCCAAGAGCAGGTCTAAGTCCAGACCGTGGTCCTGAGAACAGACCGGGATTAGACCAGAGACCAGAGACCAGACCAGACCAGAGACCAGAGACCAGACCAGAGACCAGAGACCAGAGACCAGACCAGAGACCAGAGACCAGACCAGAGACCAGAGACCAGAGACCAGAGACCAGAGACCAGAGACCAGACCAGACCAGAGACCAGAGACCAGAGACCAGAGACCAGAGACCAGAGACCAGAGACCAGAGACCAGACCAGACCAGACCAGAGACCAGAGACCAGAGACCAGAGACCAGAGACCAGACCAGACCAGAGACCAGAGACCAGAGACCAGAGACCAGAGACCAGAGACCAGAGACCAGAGACCAGACCAGACCAGAGACCAGAGACCAGAGACCAGAGACCAGAGACCAGAGACCAGAGACCAGAGACCAGACCAGACCAGAGACCAGAGACCAGAGACCAGAGACCAGAGACCAGAGACCAGAGACCAGAGACCAGAGACCAGAGACCAGAGACCAGAGACCAGAGACCAGACCAGACCAGAGACCAGAGACCAGACCAGAGACCAGAGAGACCAGAGACCAGAGACCAGAGACCAGAGACCAGAGACCAGAGACCAGACCAGAGACCAGAGACCAGAGACCAGACCAGACCAGAGACCAGAGACCAGGGGGACTGACCTGAGCAAACTGTTGCTTCAGTGGACCAGAGAGACGAACGATACACGAGACCTGAGGACCTAGACTGAGGAGACAAGGAAACAAACGAGGAGAGAGGAGACAAGGAAACAAACGAGGAGAGAGGAGACAAGATGAGTAATTTTTAAGATGCTGTAAAGGTTCTGGTCCGGTCCGGTCCGTACCGAGTCTGAAGAAGGTCTGTCACGTGATCCTTCCCGGACTTTCTCTTCCCGCTGAAAACCAGAACCAGCTTCGGTTCGGTCCGCTCCGTCTGCTCCATTTTAAAGCCGAAAAACTGCGCCTAACTCCGGGTCACACTCCCGCACTGGAACATCCGGAACAACAGACTGGACCAAAGGAGTAAGGAGCTCGAGACCCGGTTCAGACCCGGTTCAGACCCGGTTCAGACCCGGTTCAGAGCCGGCTCGGTCACGTGACTCGGGGCGGACGTAAACAGTCGCTGGTGGCTCCACTCTGATCCGGGGCCGTAACGGTGAAACAAAACGCGCAGCAAATCCACAAAGTCACGTTTAAACCGTAAAAAACAAAAACGTACAAACTCTAAAAACACTTAAGTCAGGGTTAGATCAGCGCATCCGCAGAACAACGAGTTTTTATAGAGTTTTTATTAAAACTGCACAGTTAACTTAAACATGG